AGTAAATATTCTAAGAAGCATGTTTTTAATTAAATTGTGTACATACATATTATTAAAGTAGAACTTTGATCGATTTTTATAACATCTTTGTTAATAATTATTTATCAAGTTATCTTTAATGTGAATAACCTCGTTCAATTTTCAACTGCGTATGATATGAAAACAATGTTTTATAATAAATTAGAGCAAATATCCTACATTTACTTTATTAAAAACTTCACTCTTATGGGCGTCCTACTTTATTCATCACAGAACATACGAATGTTCTTCATATTGATACTAATAACTGCCTCTCAATATTAACATTTTTAAGAAAAGACATTTTTGTACTCCAGAGCATAAGACATTGAGGACAAGCAGATACCTTTGACAACTAAAGCAAGTAAAGTGAAGCAATATCATTCTTGGATCCAGAAATTATCCTGTAGTCGACTCGGAACCAACATTTTCGACCTCCGGCGCCCCTAGTTCTTAATCACTGATCCTATTTTCTGATTCGGTATGATTGCACTCTTAGGATAGTAAAAACTAAGCTTTTAAAATCACTAAATTAGGAACTGCAATCACAATTAAACTTTAGTTGGATCAGCGAATAAATATTTTAGTGGCGTCAGACCACAGGTATCCATACTTGCTCGAAAGAGAGGGTTTCTGTGCACTTTATTACCAAAGCATGAAATTTAACTTTGAAAATCTTATGATATTTGTAGATTTCAAAAAAGTTTTGTACCAAGTTTCTGATTGGCGGCCATCTTTTGAACTTGAATTCAAATTTTGGAAATGGAACATCGTAGAGACTTAATCTTGGTCTCAAATTGTTCGGAATATGCATGTTTCTATTTGCTCTAATGTTTTAGATACCCAACATATCCATATCTCTAAAACTGTTAGTCATAAAGACCTACTTTTGGTTTCAAATTATTCAGAATATGCATGTTTCTTTTTGCACTAATGCAATGTTTTTTCCAAAAGTAGCCGGAAATTACATTTCTGACCTTTGACCCTACATTACTCGGTGTCTTAGCTAAAGGCTAATGTTATTGACAAATTATATAATTACAGTAGCGTAACCCCTACGTGTTCTCAGCAGCAAAGCCTCGGGCCCCAGTGTGAAGGGGCCTCAGACGGTCCTCATATTAATAAACTGCACTCTTTAACAAAGCCTTTGCATTATCATGGTCAAGTAGATGACACCCAAAACTAGCAAATAACAATGTAATACTACGTTTTTAACTCTCGAATGTCCTAGTTTTACTCTAATTTCAACACTTCTATATACAATATCAATTTAAAAATACTCAGAAATAAAAAAAATTAAAGAGCTACTATAATTTACAGAGAATTCCAATTGAATTATATTAATAGAACAGTTTACGGTATTGTTTGATATTCCAATATGAAGGGGCCCCTCGTAATCGGCTACGAAACTGCATGGGCACCCAACACTTGCTCCCCCCGACCTTTTGACTCACCGTTCCGCCACTGTATGATGAATGTTGTCATTTTAAAACCCTTTTTCCAACATAGTTTGTACCACGCCTCTGTGATACCAATGAGATTGAAGACGAATTTCATTTTCTATCCAATTTTTATTTTATTCCGATTTACGCAATGAGTAGTTTAATGTAATTAACTTTAGTGAGGGAGCATCACATTCTGATAATTTAAATGGTTTTGATAAACTTGTCTTTTTTGTGCTGGTGCACATGGTTTCTATATTCTTCTCCCGGTTACTAAATTTGTTAATAGTGCTTTTAAGAGACGCATTATTTAATGCTTATCGTTTGTCTCTTTTATAATACTGTACTTTTACTTCTTGGTGGTGTATCTTTGTCCTTTCGCGATGTTAATTTTGTCAAGAAGAGACTATGTTTTTGGATGAATTACATTGTTATAGTGTATAAAATACGCCCACTTTCATTCAAACATTTTAAATAAAAGCAACAATAACAATATTAATACCACTCGGCCTAATCCTTATCTTTTCAAAACAACACTTTGTTTCGGTTTTTACATATAACATTTAGCAATATATATATACTGTCTCTTATACACATCTAGATGTGTATAAGAGACAGTATATATATATATAAAAGAAAACATATAATTATGTCGCCATACAAGCTAGAAAACAAAAATTTAAATTCAAGTTATTGGTATTTTCAGATACTTGACTATGTAATCTTTAATGGTGGTCATTTCAAGCCTTAGTTATTGTGAAGTGGAAGTACAGCACTCTTACAGTCAAGATAAATATAATTTTTGAGTAATTGCCTTCCAAAGTTATTGGTGCATACACTGTTTAATAAAAATAACTACCAAAATAACGTTAAATAAATGGTTTGTTGACTATTTCCACAACTAACACAGGGGGACATGATTAATTAAACTGTTGATGTGTATTTATATTGATTAATTTTTATTTTAACCACTTTTGGGGCTCTTTATTATGAAGCTCATTTGCTCACGACATGCCTCATATTTAAAACTAAAGATATTAATCTGCCATAGAATCTGGAAAACATCAATCAGATTAAAATATAAACTAATGTGTTACTGTCAGCCATTTCTATATACTGTATAGTACTGTGTATGGGAGCACATTGTATTTTAAACAGTATCCTTAATCCATATCAATGTGCTCCAGTTGACTGGTACACAGTGCATTAACATAGGTGCCGCCCCTCCTTCCAAATTTTGCACCCTAGTCGTCTTAACCCTATTGAAAATGTCCGAAGACAAACCTTGTTTACTTGTATTCCTCGAAGTTTTCTTCTGCAAATTCTATCGACTTCCAGGGAAACTGTGGCAAAGCATTTATGCTTATAAGCCTGTCATTGTAATCGTGTCATACATATATACTACAAACGGTGGGTAGTCAACCCAAGCTTTATCAAGCCTTCTCTTTAACAAATTTAAACTCCTAGCTGATACACATTCTCACTGAAAAAGAATTTCCTCCTAAATTTATCCTGGACGGTGAAATTTAAGTTTAAACCCATGGCCACGAGAATCGACTACTAATTCGAAATAAAAACCACATTGCATGAGACAGATTCAATGCCATTAATTATTAAACACCTGGATCATATCAGCCCTTTGACGTTTATAAAAAAAAGTTGGCAATTTTAGTGCTTTGAAGTCCAGGTATCCCCCCCCCCCAAAAAAAATTGCAACCCCCAGCATCAGCTCCCCATTTCACGTCTGCTAGGTACGCCACTGCAGCTATTAAAAATTAGGTCCACTGGAGCACAGTATATTTAAATATAAACAGGTATTTTCCTCCAAACCGCTTCCCCCCACCCCGCAAAAAAATCGCAACCCCTTCCAGTCGTTCCTCCCATTGGAGATAACCGCAGCTAATCACGCTCAAGTAGTTAACAATCAACTCACATCACCTTATTAGTATATAGTTAAAAATCACCTTATTATGCGACCTAGTGGCACCTCATTTAATCATCGAGCACTCCCACTCGACCTTCCTGCCACCACCCCCTCCCCCAACAATTGCCTTATTTCAAGGAGATACGCCATTGCAGTTATCTCTATCACTTTGCTCCAGTGGCTCCAAATTGGGTCTACTGGAGCATAGTATATTAAAATAATTGTATACAAGTGTTTATCGGATCCCGTGTATCACTACAGATAATTATTTCTATCCTATACTTTGTTCTAATGAATACGTTATAATTGAGAGGGTAAGGCGAAAACTCCGTTGGCGTGATCCATACTAATATTGAAAGTAAAGAATGCTCCAGTCGACAAAACGGCGTAAAGACGGCGTTGTAACGCCCCAATTACGGTGTTATAACGCAGTACTAAAAATATGTATATATTTTTTCTCTATTTGGCCGAAATCAGTCGCCGTAATAACTAGATTCAATATCAATTCCAAACATGCCATTGATTGTACTCTACACACCAGAATCACCGATTTTTTGTCCAGGGCTTTTCAGTCCCAAGACCTCAATCAGAAGACTAAATACAGAAACCACATCATCATCGTCATTTCATATTTTGTTCTTGGCACGAGGTAACAAAGTTTCCACAGTAGGACCCCTGTAAAACTAACCACTAATATTACGCCCATCCACCCTTTCACAAAAACCTGGATGGCCCTTTCTCTATTAGGTAGACCTGCGTCTTTGTAACTTGGTAAATCTGTCCATGGAGGTTTTTATGGCTGTCCAGGCCCGTAGCCAGGGGGGGTTTTTATGGTTCGGGCGAACCCCCCTTTTCTAGCGAACCCCCCTGTTTTCTAGCGAACCCCCTCGAATTTTTCAATGAGTCCCACCCGTTTTTAAATTGTAGCCTGCATTACAAGCCTACATTCATAGAATATCTCAGCTTCAGAAGTTCGGAGATTTAAATTGAACGCAACTCCGGCAA